CACGTGGATGACAGGTTGAGCGCTGGCTGCCCCCATCCCCGTGTGTCACAAGGACCCACTTGCACGCAGCCAAAAGGCAAAGAGGTAAAGAAAGGGAGGAGGAAACCAAACCTGACAGGGAAAGAAAGATAGGGAAAGAAAGATAATCCAATTATCACAAAGCAAATAACACATCCCACAGATCAACGTATCTATTTTCTTCTTTTTTTTTTTTCTCTTTTTTCTTTTTTTCTCTTTTTTCTTTTTTTCTTTTCTTCTTTTTTTCTTTTCTTCTTTTTTTTTTACCTGCCCCCACCTCGGCAGATAGGACAACTACGGTGAGGATGATGTGGATGTTCACAAGAATGCCCAAGGAGAGCTGCGCCAGCACAGCATTCTGCAGGACGGCTAGCACGAACCATCCCATCAAAACAGTCCTGACAGAGGACGTGTTGTCCACATGTCAAAAACACGGCTGGACGTTCATCACAGTGCGGCATCATACAGTTCTGATAGCGTCCTTGGGCACAATAGGGACAACGTATATCTGGGTGATAGGGATGTGTACAATGAGGAAATGTTGGACACCCTTCAGGACAGACGGCGGCAGTCGCAATGGCATCATACAGTTCTGATAGCGTCCTTGGGCACAATAGGGACAACGTATATCTGGGTGATAGGGATGTGTACAGTGAGGAAATGTTGGACACCCTTCAGGACAGACGGCGGCAGTCGCAATAGATTGATAATGGCTATGGCATAGATGATGCAACAGGTGTCACACGAGAGTCGGTCAATAATCCAGAATAAAGTATGATTCGACAACGCTCGCAAAAATTCATTCACGTCGAAAATGACCTGACTCATCGTCCCACCATATATAGGTTCACCATCCTGACGAGTCACCATCTCCAACGAAAGTCCGTTATTGCCTCCGGGCGTTCCTTGTCCTCTACATCTCCTCTTCTCCCCGTCTGACTACAGTTCACCGCCGGGAAGCTCTCTCTAACGATATACAGTATATCGTCACACCGTGTATCAGAGCGCAAAGGCGAAAAAAGACGACACAAAAAAAAGAAAAAAGTAAGCCTGCTCATCACCTCTTACGTACAAGGCCGGCCACGTGGCGTATACATACACAAGTTGGTACCAAACCGTCAGCGCATCGAAACAGAAAACGACAAGTAATACAAGCTTACATCTTTCAAAAAAAAAAAAAAAAAAAAAAAAAAACAAGCGATCGCCGAGAGACGTCATAGAACGAAAACGCGCGTGCACATGTAAAAAAAAAAGGAAAGGTAAAACACTTCGTGAAGAATGAGGAGAGAGGAGGCGCGGCCAAACCCGAATTTGCTACGAGAGACTCAACACTACGTATGTAGGTCAACAGAAAATGATCGGAATGCTTTGCGGAACCGGTGCGTGGCAAGGAATAGTGATAAACAGAGGCCATAGACTGTCCTTCGTGCATGCTTCGACAGAAAATTCCATGCGCAACCGCATGCACTGAGCTCAGAAGAAACGCGCTCATTGCCCTATACGCACGTTTCAGCCAGGAAGCGCACCTGGCACTCATCAGGGGCTTTCTCCTCGGATCTGCCTTACGGCACCCATCAAGGAAGAAGACGAGCAAAGAACAGCGTCGCGCAAAACTACTATAGTATATTCCAGTCGGCAGCAGCGTACGTAACACTCAACAAGCAAACAAACTTCAAATGCACCATGGGGGTGAATTGAGAGAGACAAGGGGGGGCTGCGCGACATGCACACACAACAAATCGATCTCGCACATGCAACCACACATAGATGTCCACACGGGCTGCAGCTCTTGCACACACACACACACACACCTGTCTCTTATACACATCTAGATGTGCCCCCCCAATAGATTGGAACCCCTGTAAGACAGGTAGGATTGTATGTTTGCATCATCACTCCTTTTTCCATTATAGCTGTATTTGGCAAAGCTTTCAGCCCAGATTCAGCGATAATTACCGGGCGTTCTATTTGGGTGAAGACAGTACGGGTGCTGATAAGAGCCGCCACCACTAGCACTGCCGGGGAGCCCCCATCTATTGGTGGAGAGCACCACCAGCTGGGAATCAGGTCCAGCGTCCCCGAACATTGAATATAAACATGCATTTGTTACAACTGTCATGCAGGGGGCTCACCCACCAAAACTTCGGCAGGAAGATGCACCCAGCAGCCTGAATTGCCAGTGATAGCATACATAGATCTCCCAGCAGCTGGGAGATCTATATATACTATCACAGCCTACATGACAACTATAGTCAGTGATAGTATACATAGATCTCCCAGCGCCCCTAGCTCCCAAACGGGCAGTTTTTTCAACAAAAAAAAAAAAAAAAAAAAAAAAGATCTCCCAGCTGCTGGCAGGAAGATGGGTAAGCGATTGCAATGAGTGTCCTACCATACTCCTCCAGTCTGCCAACAGTCTGTTGTTGTCGCAGTTGGTAGAGGTGAAAGTCTTTGAAAAACGAAAAAAAAAAGGAAAAAAAAAAAGATTATGGTTTTGGGATAGAGGAGGCAAGTACAATTGGCATAGCTAATGAGGTACAATGTAGTAATATATAGTGGCTTTGCCCTCGTACATGGCACGGGGATAATGGTGGATAAGTGAAGGGGACAAGTTGCGGAGATGGTGACCTTTTTTTTTTTTAAATCATCGGGTGCGGGTGTGATGGGGGTGGTGGCAAGAGCAGTCGTCCCCATCACAAGCCCGCCAGTTGATGGCTCTGTTCCAGTGGTGGGGAGCTGCACCTGCTGGAAACCGGGTCCAGCGTCCGTCATATTACAACAGAACATTTTTAAGTGTTTCCCTGCTGACCTGAATGCTCCTATTTTTGCAGAACTGAGAGCTAGAGGGGGCTGCCAGCATGGATCGCCCTGCAATGCAGGGGATTGACTGAGCAGAGGCCTTTTGACCAGCAGAGATTACGGAGATTACTCAGTAGGATATCAGCTGGACAGGAGCTGATGACTGCCTCTTCAACCATTAAGGCCGCCAGATTCCGCAGGACACCACAATCTGACCATACAACACCATACCCGTACCCATTTCGCCCCATTCCCCCAAGGAAGAACAAGACATCAAAAAAGAAAACGGAACTTGAGACCAATCACTTCCCCCCAAACCACTGTCTCCACCACAGCTACGGGCGACAAGGGTGAAGCGGGATGGAAGGGTCAATCTCAGTCCAGTCGTGAAACTGGATGCAGTAATCCCTCTGCACCCCCCTCAGTTCTTATGAATCTCCTCTTCCTTCTCCCCTCCACTCTACTTCCGCAATTCGACCCCCCCCCCCCATTTGCTTCCCCCACCCAGTCCTTGGTAAAGAGTTCGATGCGCTGTTTGATTTCCTTTTGAGTGAAAGTGTGCAATCTTTTCCTGAACCTTCTCCCAACAGTAGCGTCCGTCTGTAGCTGTTCCTTGACTGAGTCAACAACACACACACCCTATAGGCGACCCCGTTCCATCTCAAAAGTGCATCTTTGCCACCATATTGCCCAAAATACCGCCCTGCATTCCATTTCAAAAAGGTTTACCTCAAAGGCAGTGGCTTGCTCCGCGGTCCATGCTTCACAGAGTACTGCTCTCCAGTCCCACGGCCAGGGTTGTGTTGTGGCCATCAGGCTCCACAGTCGGTCCCACCATCTCCACAACCAAACAGATCCAGGGCAATGCAGAAATATATGTTCAATTGTCTCTGGCCACTGCCGGGCGGGGAAGGATGCTGTACACAGTTTGCACCATGGGAGGGTGAGGCCCCTCTGTTCCAGGTGCCTTTTCCGTCTATCAGCCAACCATTTGCTGGCAGGCACCTGGGTTCTACCTGCAATTGCAGGGAGGCCAGCTTTGTCGGTGAGTGCCTCCTTTCCTCTGTTAAGGTGCCTCATCCAGCGTGCTTCAATCACCTCTCTCACCTCCACCCTGGTGTGTAGCATCCGATAGGTCGCTTTGACGGAGAGGGTGGGTAGGTGCCTCCTCCCTACCGTTCCCCTCCCCAGCTGTGTTGTCCATTTCCAGCTGGCAAGGTCCAGGGCCAAGTGTGAGATTGGTGCCATCGGTTTGTACGCGACCCACCGTTCCTTCTCCTTTAGGACCCTGATACAGAAGACTTCTGATATGGGAAACCACATGGTTCCCTCCAGTTGTGTCCTTCCAGACTGTTGTCTGCTCTTCTGTGGAAGAGATTAACCAGCACCACCGGCTCCTCCCCTGGGACTGTTAATCTGGTAACTACCATGCTTCCCACCTCTCTCTCCCGTCCCCGGATCCCCACCCAGTTGTGACGAACTCTTTCCCGTACGCAACCTATATTTCGTAGCCCCTAAATTTTGTTGAATCATCTACCTCCTCCCCCCCCCCCCCCCCTCTCTCTTCTTTTTGCAGTATTCCCAAGGCATGAAGTTGTCGGCCATTCAGGCCCGAAACCAAGTCGACGTTTCCATTCCCTTTTTCTCTTTCGGAATTCATGCATTTACGTAGGAATTACGCGCGCCTTAGAGAGCACGCTATGGATTTCGTTCGGCGGTTGGGAATTCCGGGATTACGGGCGTCTTTTTCGTTGACGTGTAATTTCTTGCATTGGGAATTTCCCGTACCCGGGCGTCTTTTTCGCTGACTTGTCATTTCTTGCATTGAGAATTCCCGTACCCGCCCTTGAAAGATCGGCGAGTTCTCAATAGGCAACTGGATAGACATAGGAGTTTTGTGCGCCCAAATCCGCGCGCATGTATAACATTTGAATTTCGTACTCTTGAAATAGTTTTTGGGGTAGGAACACAGCTGTTTCGAGGTCCTTCTTCTCTCTCAAGCACTAGTGCGGCATCTGCAAGCTTCCCCCTAAACCCGTGCCATCTTCCCTCATCTCTTCTTCGCACCTTCTCCCCTTCGCCTGCAACTATTTTCGATCCCCTCTCTCCTTCGTGCTTCACCCTCACTCCTTCTCGTCTGAACCTTGGATCCGCTCCGCGCTACTTTTCGTGCTCTTCCCCTTCCCCCCTATATCCCAATAACGGAAACTTCCTACTCATCCCGCCCAAGGTACTCGAGGCCACTGATCGACGTCGTGTAAGGATTAAAACTTCTCCCTGTACGAAGTAATCTGATTGGCTGGAATCATGTAGGAACATCCCTCCCCTGGCCATGGAACTGGAAAGCGCTTCTCCTCGAGTCCTGGAACCCAATTCAAGCGGATAACTTCACATCCAATTTATTCACAATTGGAAGAAGAGCAGTCATCTGGGCATTATGGACTCGTAGTGCTCGTCTTGATGGTCCAAAATTTACAGAAACCATCAAACATCAAATCCAAGTAGAAATTACTACCAGATGGGAGTCCCTAAAGGAGAAACTCAAATTTCTGAATTCAGTAAAGGATATTAAGCATCACATCCAAACATTCAATCAAAATTGGCTCGGAGGGGACCAAGGAGGAAAATTGGGGCGGCTAGGAGGGGAACAAGGAGGAAAATTGGGGCAAGTGAAATGGAAAGGAATACAAGGCAGCGATCAGGATGGGCTTCCAAGGAATTACTGATTAATCTTCAATGATTGGAGTAACATTTGACTCCATCATTCCAATAAAACCACTATCAGAGTTTTCGGATCTTTTTCCTCCTGCAGGTCTGGCCTTGGTTCCCAAATCATGGTATACGCCTGCCTCAGAATAAATACTAATGTGCATGCCAGTATTCTCCTTGACAGGCAGGCTATCAGGTTTAACTCTCAATCAAGTAGGCTGCAAGTGCTAGGTGGCCACGCATATACGGCGCCCGTTCAGGGTGAAGAGGCACAGAAGCCAATCTCTTTCTATCATGATACTCAAGGTCTTATGAACAGAAGGGATGCTGGGCCCAGTTCCCAGCACGAGCTGAACCTTGTCTTTTAAATGTTAAGATGTCAAGGGACGCTTGTCAAGGGACGCTGGACCCGGTTTCCAGCAGGTGCAGCTCCCCACCAATGGAACGGAGCCGCTCCCCAAGTGTTAGTGGTGTCTGCTCTTATCAGCATCACTAACACTGTGAAGGTTTTTTTTTTTTTTGTTAAAAAAAAATAATAATAATAAAATCTGATTGGCTGCGTGAAGAACCTGCAGGACTGGTATGGCTTTTCACGGGCGATCACCTCAAACTCTTTCTTCTCTCCTCCCAATCCTTATCCCATGTTTCTCGCTCTGCTGCCCTCCTGCTCACAACTACAAAATCCGCCAAGCGCTTCCAAAAAGCCCTATCTGAACCCATCGGCCAACTTCCGGGAAGTCATGGCTAGGTGATGGGAATGCACGACGGGTCAACAAGTCCTGACGAGCCGACAATGGTTCTGCAAGGCTGGGTGCCAGGTGGCCGCGACATACTGCGGGATCTAGGCAAATCGGTGTAGGAGCTGAGTTGGCGGGGTGACAATTGCTGTGGTGTGGTGGTTGGTATGTGGCGGCCGAGATCGCCAGTAGCAAGGTATGGAAACACACTTGTGATTGAGAGGTTGTATGGCCTGAGGCCATAGTCAGAGAGCAGAAGGTTTGCGCACCACCGATCTTCGATTCTTCCTCTTATTCTTTTGGGAAGTTAAGTTCACGGCACAATGCAGGTTTCGGTCCTCTGATCTACTTCATGTGCTTACTACTCTTTCTTTGTCTTTACTCTCCCTCTCCTATAAAGTTGTATCTCCGACGTTGTCTTCACTCTCTCTCTCTCTTTCTCTCTTTCTCTCTTTCTCTCTTTTTCTTTTTCTCTCTTTTCGGTATTTCTGTCATGAATGGCTGAATG